TTGGGAGCGGGAGTGACACTTGAATGGGAAACGGGGCAGGAGGAGCCCCCGCGCTGGGGGCGAAGGAAAACGGTTTAATTGAGAAAAGGGAAACGACTCATTAAGGAGGTTTTTGCTGAGGTGCTGTTGTTTTGGGGATGAGGAGGAGGATTTTGGGTCCTGTGATGGGGTTTGGGGGGGTCTCAGCTGTACCAGGGTCTGGTCTCAGTGCATGGCAGAGGTTTCCACCCCGGATCCTCGCTCATTGCCGGGGGAACTGGGGGCAGCGGCTCCCATCCCGTGCTGCCGGCCCCATCTGTTGCTGCTCAAAGCGCTTAAAAGGGTTTGGGTTTGCAGACAAAAGCCGGGAACGTGGGATCGGGGGCTTTGCGCACCCGCGGAGGACGAGCGCTGGGGCTGTGAGGCTCTTTTGTCTCCGGGATGAAAGCACTTTGTGGTGTTGGAGCGATGGGTGGGTTGGGTTTTGATTCCTGTTTGTTAACGTGGTGCTTTTTTGGAGGCAAAACCAACAAAATCTCGACCTGTGCAATGCTCCTGCGGGTTCTGCCGGGAGGGAATTGCGTCCTGGGGAGGGTTTGGGGCTGCGGAGTTGATTTCTCGTCCTCCTTTTCCTGCCTCGAGGAGGAAACGAGCTTTAATGATGCCCAAGGCTCCTGCTGGCGTGGTTTTCCCTGAGAGCCAGTTAATTAACCTGGTCATGGTTCCTTAATTATGGATCTGCAGGAGTTTGGTCATTGCAACCTCCCTGAGCCTTGTTACTAAGTCTGGGAAGCAGACCAGTCTATCCCAGCATAACTGGGGTGCACACTGGTCTGCTGTGGCTCCTGGTGGGGGAGCGTGCGGGGTCTCTCAGGGATGAAAACTGGGTTGAAATGGTGACATGTGGAGCTCTCTGAAGTCCTGGTTCACCTCTTTTATTGCCCAGAAATTAGGGAAAAACTGCTCACCCGGCTCAGGGGATCCCTTGGGAGCATCAAGTTCCCCCTGGGCTCTGCGTGTCCCCCCCATCCCCATTCACTGCTTTTAGCGCTGAAATAAATGAGCACAAGTTGAGCGGAATTTGCCACTATGGAAGGAATGAAGCGGGGGGGAAGCCCTAGGAATTATTCATAATATTTCTCCTTTTTAAATGATGAATTTAAGCCAAGGAACGTCTCTGCAGGGCTGAGAGCCCGAATGCAGCCCAGGCCGCTCCGGAGCGAGGGGGGGGGGGGGGCGCCAAAAGCCACATTTCCTCATTTCCATATGCATAATCACGCAATTAGGGAGTCAGCCTAAACCTGCGGCGCAGACAAAGAAACAGGCGGCTTCATAATTAATCACACGTGTGAGAGTGAGGCCCATTCCAGTGGGGTTCATTATCCGGTGGAATTATTTAAAAAAAAAAAAAAGAAGAAGAGAAAGAGGTTTTTTTGCAGTAGCGAATGGGTTTTTAGGCTGCACGGACGGGCGCTGGCGGGGGCTCGTAGGTGCGTGCGGCTGCCGTGTGCTGCATTATTCAGCCGGACTGGCTCTGGTTTAACTGGGCTGTGAAATCGCTCCAGTCCGGGCTGGATAAGGGAGAGGGGTCTTAGAGCGGGGTTGCCCCCGCTAAAAATCACCACCTCCGGGCTGGAAATCTGCTTTTCACATCCACCCCACGCATTTCGTGGGTTTCCCGTTCTTTGGGAGCTCACAAAACACTTCACAAATCAGAAGTTAAAATCCAAAGTCGCATCAAGCAGGAGCGGAGGTACCGGCTCCAACGCCCCTTCCGCTGCACTGTCACTAAATGCTCATTTCCATTTCAATTACAGATGTAATTTGGGCTGAGTTTGGCTGCTGGGCTGTTAAAACCCAGCTCTATCTTGATGCCCGGCAGCAGGAGGTCACCTCGAACACTGCCAGTGTGGTGCAAAGTCTTTGGCTTACCGGGAATTGTAAAATAACCTCGGCAAAAAGGGCTCGGGGTTCATGGAGGTGAGATTTTAAAACTATGGGAGGGTTTTTTAAACTATGGGAGTTTTTAAAACCTGAATTTTCGAGGTGGTTCCTCTCCCATCACTCCCCAAAACCCCACCCTGAGCCGGATTTCAGTGCCAGAGAGTCAAAGCAAAGCTGGAAACCGCTTGCTATTTCTTATTTTATTATTTTTTTTTTAGAAAGCATGGTTCCTATACAGAAATGCCACTGAAAGCCCCAAATCATGAGGGCTGGAGCTGGAAATACCATCTGAGGGAGTTACCAGGTCCTGGTTGGTGCTGTGGACCTGGCAGGTTTGTGGGGGCTGCTATAGCAGGGGGCACTTTAATTTCGTACAGCTATAGACAGATATACATACATACATACATATATATATATTTATATATAAAAGTATACAGAGCATGTTTCGAGCATCCCAGCCGTGGCTCCGCAGGGGTAGACGTGAGCTCCCAGCGGTGCTTCCCTGGGTCAGGATCCGATCCCGGTGTCCCAGTCCCAACCAGAGGCTGGGGGGGCTGGTTTTTGGGTGGGGGCTGTT